AAATATAAATACATTTTTGCATACATTTGCCGCGTTAGAGAATCCACATCAGATGCATCTGAATTTAGTAAATCTTTGATCACGTGATTCAGTATACGTACAGATGTGTCCGATGTGGATAAAAACGCTCGAGATGTAAAAAATGCATCCGATGTGGATTCTCAAACGCGACAATTGTTGTAATTCATTTTTACAGGTTGCCATAGAAACGACAAAAAACTACTATGATTATAGTTTAAAAAAATTGTCTAACAAGAGTTTATAATAATTATTATTGACTATCTCTGCAAATGGTTTATATATGCACATGGTTTAAACGGTAGGTAAAAATATTAATAATTCAGGTTTAACAGCTATGTTAACAATGAATTCGGATTGTAATTTTCAGGGAAAACACAATTGTGATTTTTTGAAAATAAATTTTTTTTCTACGCCCATGTCAGTAAACGTTAAAAATCGCACTGTTAACATTCCTTGTAAATGACATTTAACAATAACATGCACGTAATGAGATCTCATAACATACACGTACGTTTTGATAAGAAAACTTAAATTTCTTAGTTTAATCAAATTGCAATCAAATTTTTAACTACGTTCGACTTTATTTGGGCTATTTACATAAATTTAGTCAATTGGAAAACATAAAAACTTTTAGAATTACCCAGATACATTTTGGATTAAACAGTGATGCCCCTAAATGTCGGCAACACATTATACAATTTTTCAAATCGCGTTCTCTTGGCATACTATGAAAATAAACGTTTTATCATTTATATTGTCAATTTTTGTAACAAAATATTACCTACGAATATATCTGTTAGTAGTAAAAGTGATGAAATTATGAGCACTCCACTGGAGATTTTATAAAAAGCTCAAACTGTCACACATAATTTGTTACCGCTAAAATACAAAAAAAGGTACGAAATTACCTATCGAAAATTTATAGATTGGCGACACAAGCATATGTCCTTTATTTAATAGAAGAAAATAAATGGGCGTAGAAAAAGTATAGTACGTTACACGAGTTGTGAGCCCATTACGCATGAAGCCGCGCAGCGGCTTCATGCGTAAACTTTTTCACTTTGTGCGTAATGGGTTATTTACAACTCTTATTACGTAATATATACTATTAATAGCTTTGCTCAGGATAGGGATAGACACAGATGTAATTTGGTGAAGTACATGCCTTTGGAACATACTCGTATTTCATTTCGTTATCAGCTGACGGTCGAAATTTGCAGTGGGCTCTCTTACTATAACCAATCTATACAGGGTGTTTCCGAACTTGGCGTTCAAATTTGTAGGGGTGGTAGTTCGCATAATTTGAGAGCGATTGGCAGATTTATATTTTCTAAAAAAATTATAATAAACAAAATGGAGCCATTATAAAAAAAAAGGATCCTATCCTGAGCGCATAGCGCAATAGTCGCTTGATCGGTTACTCATCGGGATTTACAACTCAAAAACAGATGCGATTTGCAATTTTGTCGATTCTAAGCTAGCGCGCGCGAGTCAAGGCGATCCCGTCGCTGTGCAGGACCGTACCTGTTTAAAATTTTTAATTTTTTTTATTTTAAATATTTTGGAAAAATGAAATCCGCGAATCGGTCTCAAATTATGCGAACTACCACCCCTACAAATTTGGACGCCAAGTTCGGAAACACCCTGTATATATGTCGTAGCCAGATTACAAAACCCGTCGTTTTATAAATTGCCTAGGCGTTTTATAAATTGCGGCCAAATTGTTAAAGTTTCGTTTACCTTTCATTATTTTACTATCTGGCTAGCCGGATTATAAAATGCCTAGGCGTTTTATAAAAAGACGGTTAACACACGGCCAGATTTTCAAATATTTAAGATTATCTTGCGTTTGACATTCTGGCGGTTGAGCTTCAGTCGTCTTGCTAATTTTCGACAGCTGATAACAACTGTATAAGTGAACATGCGGAAAATAAAAAAAATCAAATCTTTGCTGTAAAGAAAAAGTAATAGAAACACAGTGCAAAATAGATTAAAAACGTGCAGCTGACCAAATGGTCCAAATCACAAAAAAATTAAAAAAAATTGTAGGTATGGAAGCATGTTTCTACATTTTCAAAATTTGCCAGGGGACCGCATGATCCTAAAGCTGTATTAAAAATTATTCTTGATGTACGAAGTGAAGTATACTAGATAGGAACTGAACATGGGCTTTAAATCGACGGTTTTCTAAGGACCAACTTAACTTAACGTCAAACTTAAATCTAAAAAATACTAGTATTACGTTAAGAGAAGCTATTTCTAAGGGTTTTTAATTTGAGGGACAAGGGTTTAAAGAAAGCCAGTGAAAACCTAATAAAGTTTAAATGCTGTACGGACAAATGTCTTGGTTATTCGGCCTTGAAGCTCGCCGGATATCCGTTATCCGGCCAAACAACTATCCCTTGCATCTCTATTTAAAATGTACCTATTACATTTATTTGCGGCCCGTGGACACCGCGGTTGTCCGCAAGACAGCGTATTCTTTTGGTCCAATTGTGGGTGACTTTTTCTAGCACTTCTGGTCGTATGTCGTGAATAACATGAACAATGTTGGCTTCTAAGGCCTCAGTTATTGCTGGTTTATCAGCATACACTAAAGCCCCACAGAAAATAATCTAGGGACGTCACATCACAGTACCTGGGTGCAGAGCTGTTATAAGTATTTAGCAAATGTACTTCAAGTAATCAGTATTAAGTAATTTAAATTCCAAATCTACTTACAATATTAAGTATAAGTATTTTACAAAAGTACTATTATTTTACTTAAAACAAGTATTTCAAGTATAAGTAGCAAGTACATACCTTAAAAATACATAAAGTAAATTCAATATACTGAAGTAATTCTAAGTACTGAAAATATGTTAAAAATACTTAAAGTACTTTTAAAGATTCACTATTTTGAAATATTAATTATTTAAGTCATGTTTTAAGTATATATTAAATGAAAGATCCCCTCTTGAGTTATTAACTTAAAACTCAACATATATGGCTTTGTATAAATTAATAAAGTACACTACTTTTTCGTTTAGACATGACCAATAAAAATGGCTATCCATAATATGTTTGTATGTGTAAAATATATAATGGTTTATTAAAATAATTGAAATCTTAAGTTTTGCTCGGCGTTTTTGTTACATTGTTACTTGTTAGATGATGACATGATGATATAAATTATATATTTAAACTCGTGACAGATGTTTTCATATCATCGTGACTATGGAGATCATGACTTACCAGAATCATTGTTTGTTGCTCATATACGAGTAAATAAAAAACTATTCATATTTCAATATACTTTTTATTCGTCAGAATCGGTAACATAAAGAACCCAGACAGCACACCAAATCCTTTGGATATCTACTGAACATCCCAATATCCACTGAATGTCCAGTCCATGGTGGATATCTATTTTATATCCATGAACTGTAATTTATAGACATGCAAATGTCCATAACTAATAGTAATTATATAGCAAACTATTAAAAAATTACGCCATTGTGGCTAATAGTACCGTTCAGATATTTAAAATTAATTTTTTTAAGGTGTATTCAATATCCCATGGACATCCACTAAATATATTAAGTCTAGGCGCGAACGCAAACCATCGTGGATATCCACTAGATGTAATTTTTGATTTTGCTTACTAAGTATAGATGGCGATACTACTTTCGCATCTACTCATGCTCAACCCGCCGTAATTGAGTTCGATCGAAATTTGTTTCACAATCAGACTCCATTAGAGACTGGAGTCGAGAATTTCCATATATTGCTGAAGAGTCCTAATAAGGATAACTTTCTCCTTAGCGGGCAAAATCAAAGGCAGAGTGTTGAAAATATTTTGAGTGTTAAAAATATTTTTAATCTCTGCTATTTTCTATCGACTTTATTCAATAATCATTGGTTACTTATGAACCTCTACTAAAGATACCTATAAAATATTTTGCTGAATATCCGAATTCTTCTATATCCTGGGATATAGACGGACATTTGGTTGGATATCCATATTGGATATCCACAAAATATATTCTGTGGATATCTCTGGGATTTCTTGTATTGTCTGTAAAATACTCATTAGATATTTTGCTGGATATCCATATGATATCTTCTATATTCTGGATATAGACGGACATTTGGATATCCATATTAGATCCACGGAATATTTCTGATATCCTGTGGATATATTGGATATCCACAAAAGATATTTTGTGGATATCTCTGAGATTTGGTGTGTTGTCTGGGAAGTCAAAGTCATAAACGTAACACAACATAACATAAGAATATGAGTATAATAACAACACAAGTACATAGGTATTGTTTTTCAAGAATAAAATTATTTTAAAGTAGGTACCTAACCAAAATACATATTAGGATATCGGATACTTTGAAAAAACAACAACAAAATAAATAACTAATACGTTTCCTAGAATACGTGTTTGTTACTTTTGAGCAGTACCAACTTTTCAAAGTTGGTGTCACTTAACGCATGACGTCTAGAAGCATTAATTATTTCAGCGGAAGAAAATAATCGTTCCACGGGGGCAGATGACGGTAAAATACAGTTATATTTTATAAATAACTGTTTAACAATATTGTATTCGTCATTCGTTCAGCATTGACAAGGTGGTCCTTTTATCATTCAGATATTTGAGGAATTCAAATTCAAACTGGTTTTGAAAAGTATCAGTAGAATGGAGCCTTATAGCAGTATCCGAAGAAACATTAACCTCGGCATCATCCTTAAAATCAAAAAAACGCGTCTTCAAGGTCTTCTTGGGCTGTCAAGTCGGGCTCAACTGATACTTTAAAGGCCAAAGCACTACTCGATATCCAAGATTGAATATCTTTTGCGGTTACTTGAACATCAGTATTTTTGAAGGCACTCAACCGTCTCATTTTAAATCTAGGATTGGTTACTGCTGCTATAACGGCTATCTTAGACTGCAAGGTAAAAACACGATGGAATCGTTCACGAATAGAGTTCAAAATGTAATCCAAGGACTTAGATAGCTGTGTGATTGTACCAGACAATTTAATTTTCTCAAGTTTTGTGTGCATTGATACAATACTGGGAAGAAAGTATCCATAATATATGTATTTTGTTTGCCTTGCAGAAAGTCAAGAGTCTCTGCAATAGGTTTCATAATTATAGTATATTCTGTCAAAAATAATATTTCACTTTCAGTAAAATTGGGTAGCAAAAGTGCATCGCAAAGTGCTGGCATCTTTTCCTTTAAAGACAAATTTTTTTTTACATCATCATAACTGGAGTTCCATCTAGTTACACCGGGGTAACTTAGAATGCAACCTAAAATCTGTTGCATTATTTCTGCCGATTTTGGTCTCCGTGCTTTATTCCACAAATTAGAACACTTGTTGAAAACTAAACAGTTTTTGCTTCTAAGTTGATGTGATGATTTTAATGAATTATTATAATCCGTTGTGGCAATTAAATTGTGTGTGAAGCACACCGTAAATGTTCGGGCAAAAATTGTCTAGTTTGTGAAAATGATCTCTCTAAATCAGTTGACTCAATTATGCTTTCGAACTCTAGCAAAGTTTCTTCGGTCTCCGTCTCCCCCTCTTGAGTTTGATCATTTTCATTACCAACATTATAATGTGAATCAAGTAATATTCCGAATTCTTTAAAACATTTAACAAAATTGGACCCGTTATCGGTGACAGTGGCTAAATTTTTTTTATTATCCAAATTATAGGCTCTGTGAATTTCATCCATCAGTTCCCCAATTTTGTCGAAAGAATGAGTGCCTTCAAATCTACGACATGCTAAAGCGACCGATCGTCTTGATAAATCTTGGTCTATCCAGTGACAAGTTACACCTAAAAAACTTCGTTTTTTGGAGGACCAAATATCAGCTGTTGTGCAGACATAGTTACAATTAGATAATTGTCCTATTATTTTATTAATCATTTCTTTGTAATGACCATTAATTTTCTGAATAGCAGCAAACCTATTCTTAACTTTAACGTCCATTCCCTCAAAAAAATTTTATGAAACTTTCATGCGATACCCAAGAGAATTGGAGACATAGTTTCTACAATGAATCGAACTATTATTTCGTCAAACGTTTTTGGGTAATTTTAGTTTGCCTAAATGAAATCTGTCCTTGTTTAAGTGATACCTTAGACTTAGAGTTACCCAAAGGAACTGATGTAGAGGATGATGACGCAGACATACATTTAGACGTGGACTCATAATTTTGTTTCTTGCCTTCCAGAATTCGTCTCTATTTTTGTTTGTACGCATTGTACTTGCCATTTTGTTCTGAATGCTTGTTTCTCATATGTTTTAAAAAATTCGTTGTTATCAATAGAGAACCTTTGATTATTTTTTTGTTTGGTAAATACATTTTACATTCGGCTTGAATGTGGTTAACGTCCGTCACCTAGAAATCATTTTTTGGTATTAAAAAAAATAGTCGACACGGCAAAAAGATATCATGAATTAAGTGTGTGTTTTAAAATTTCGATACAAACATTCAATTACCTCTCTGTTATCGAACTTTATTGAGACATTATTGAAAATTAAAAGGGTAAAGAGATTTGAATTTAAGAAAAAGTATATATCCGTATAAATGAAAGAAAATACCCCAAAATCAGAAAAGAACTGATGTGTAAATTCTATTCACATGAAACATGAATGCAAGAATTCTAGAAACATTATCAACACCCTAGAATACAAATAAAAATATTTACCTTTCCAACAACTTCATAGAACTTTCCATCTAAAAGAGGGTTGCTTTGTATTTTTTCGGTAAGTAAATTATCTTGACCATCGCTAAACTGCTCTGGTTTTTGACTTGGTTCAATTTGTAAAATTTGATTTATCCCAGGCAGCACACATTAGTATAACTAACGTATTTTATACGTAATACTCGTTTAATTTTGGTATTGGTTGATTCCGTATACGTTTACAGTTTACGATTATTATACATGCCGTATTTTAAAAGATATATTATACGTTTTTTGTATACATCCTATGGTATATAATTGTAAATTTTTCTACGTTTAAATGTAGTTAACAATATACGACTATTTTTAGTTTGCGATGAACTATTTATATACAGTGGGTCTAAATATACGTTTAGGTTTATTTAAATTAAATTCGTATAAATTTACATAATATTACAATATGTGTTCTTCGTTTATAACTCCCGTTTAAATTTCGTCTTGGTTGATTTTTTGAACGTTTACCATCTACCATTTTTATACTTTACGTTTTTTAACAGATAAATTAAACGCTTTTGTTTGTGGATACTAGTTAATATACCTATATTATTCTACGTTTAAATATAAGTCACCTTAAACGCATATTACCAGTTTACGATGAACTAGTAGACAGAAGTAAATAATATGTATATATTTAGGTTTATTTAAATTAAAAGCTTATATTTATTTACATTACACCATACTTTTTTAATTATATTACCTGTAATATTTATAACAAATTCCCCATTGTACCGATTTCAAACACCCGAACATTTAAATAACCCGCCAATAACCATGGTGGGGTGGACTAGTTCATGTCGTTTCAGTGAGTGAGATTCGGGGTGTGCTTTAAGATAAGTCGGGCTGGTCCAAAGTGCGCGTAGTGCAGAGAATCGAGAGGGGAGTAAGGTACCGGCAGACGATCGGGAATCAGCTGACTGATGGTGGCTGGCGGCTGTGAAGGGCTCGCTATCAATCAAACGATTCACGCTATTATAAGTTATATTTCTGTTAACTAGTTGCTAACCAGGACAATTGTTTTTTATGTAATAAAAAGTTCTTGTAAAATTGTTGGTGTTGTTGTGCCCATTTGCATTGCATGTTGCTTTGGCGTCCTGGCTTTTACGATATTGGTTACAAGCATAGGTAAGTTTCTGTTAATGTTTTAATTTAGCTACTCGTTTAATAATTGTTACATTTTACAACAACTACTGTTTTATTACAGTGTGTAAAATGCTTATAGAATCTCCAAAACATAACCTTACGTTTGTTTCTCTTATTTTTATACGTATTTCTATACGTATTTTTTAGACTACCTAGTTATTCCAAGCATACTTATTTTCCTTTGTTTTGGTCAGTTGTTTTTTATTTAATAAAATGTCTAAAATAACCCTGTCTCGGCGTTATTTACTAAGAAAAATAGCACAAAATGTTCAAGATGCTTTAAAGTCAAATCAATTTTTTTTTATTCCCAGTGAAGATAACATTAATATATCATCTGATTCTATTATTTATAATAATTTCCTAGAAAATAATACAAATTTAAGTTTGGAGCTTTTAGAAAATATTTCACCTGAAATGCAGTTAAATTTTGGTTATAGGAATGGGGGTGAACCAAGAGACTTAAGCGACCGAACGATTAGAAGTGCTATGCAAGATTGGCTTAAGTTAGCTAAGGCCTGTCTAGGACACAACACATCCAAAGTGTTAAGCTAAGATTTTAATTTTCATATATATTTTTTGTTAGTTAAAGAAAAGTTTCGTTTAGTTTGTTATTCAGTATTTTAGTGTTTATTTTTTAGTATTTTATTGTTTATTTTTTTTTTTAATAAAATATTGTTCTGTACATATATCAAGAACAAGTGATCAAAAAAATTTCCTAAATATTTAGACCAATTACAACCAAAATAGAAACACGAGTAATACCTATTTCTAGTGTATACACACCTGCTATGGATAAAATCCAAACTGTCATTTAAGAAATATTAACATTTTTCCATGGCCTCTTTTAGAAATTTTGTTTTGATCACTTTATTTAATTTGTGTTTGAAATACATTTAAAATAATATCAGGTAGACGCATTTTACACATTAATAAAATAAGATAAATCTAATATAGACGTATAGTAAAACAGGATAATAAAAGGTAGATAAAGTAGTAATGTTAGACGTATAAAAAATAAAAAAAATATACGTTTATAGGGCGGACATTTTCACGTATATATTGGGTAGCATATCAACGGTATCCATACGTATATTGTAGTACATAAAAAAATGTCTTTTATACCAAAGTGGATTCGTATAAATATACTACAACTATAAATCTAATATAGACGTATAGTAAAAACGTTTAATTATAGGTGAATAAATTCTTAGTAATCGACGTTTATAAGGCGGACATTTTCACGAATATATTTGGTAGTACATCAACCGAATTCATACGTATGGTAGTACCTAAAAAAAAAAAAAACGTAATTTATACAAAAGTGTGCTGCCTGGGATGCTTTTATTCCTTACTCCAAAATAATCCGGCAACAACTTTTTTTTGTGTGTCTTGGGGGTATAACTTGGGTCATCGTCGTCTGATATTTGGAACGGGTCCTCTGGCGAAGCCGAAGTCGTCTCAAATAAATCATGCTCAACTTCCATGATTTCTATAAGTTGTAGATATTAAATATACACAATAATTAAAGGTACCGTACCATAATGCGGTTTACTCTCGAAGTAAACCGATTAAGGTTCTTGTTTTTATAGAAAAAAAATCATAGAATTCTGCAAAAAAATATATTTTTCCTACTTGTGTGCGGAAAAACGTTTATTACGCACGTAAATGCGTGCTGGAAGTTGAATTTTCCGGTCGCTGTGTGGATATAGTAGTTTGTGCAACAAGAGTGGATATGGACAATCCACTTGAGTTGTACAAAATATTTTTTCTACGACCCACTAACGAAAATTTACAAATAAAATATTTTTAGGTTATTAAGACAAAATAATAATAAATAATTTATAAATTTTACTGATTTTTAAAATCAAATATAATATATGAAAAAAAAAAAATAATTGCCAGTCGAGAATCGATCCCGGCTTTTCGCGTGGAAGTCAAGAACACTGCCACGTGTCCACTTTTACGATTTTGGTTTTAATACTCGTAATTAAAATAGTTACATATAGTTCAGATTAATTTTTTTTTTAAATATGGTCCAAATAAAAATGCTATTATTTACGATTATTTATCTATTCTACACAAAAATAACTCATTTTAATGTATATTTAATCTCAATAACTAAAAAATATCTGACAATTAGTTTGACAGGATTATCACTTATTTAAAATTTTAAAAATAATAGTAGTTCTCGGTGTCCAAAATATGAACATTGGTGGATTTCATATTTTTGCAGTATTCTCACCACCTGGAATAGATATGAAACATATTCTTTCGGTTGAACACAAAAACAAACTTTTTCGTTTTGTAGTCTGTGAGTAGATAAGCTAATATCCATGTGGGTGTAGAAAAAATATTTTTTTCTACAACTGTTAAAAAACATTTTTATATCGTAATAGATACGCAAAACAGGTTTTTTTCACATGTGAAAAATTAATTTCTTCAAGCATTTTGCTCACAACATTGAGATACGAGATTTAACAAAAAGAGATGTATCATATTATTTCACTTACCTATCTATTTCACAATTATTTTCAGATACTGTCTACCTATACACTATCTTAGGACTGTATGCTTATTACTCTTATTCTACGAGTAGTATTATTAGTACCAGGTATCGGTGAACTACAAGTCCGGCATCGGCACACATTAGACGTCGTGTGTCGCAAAGATTTGATTTGTTTGAGCGTGTTTACTGTACTGTCCGGGTAATATGAAATGCGAGTCCTAGCTTGTTTGGCGTTGCAATATTTTTAATAAAATACTTAAAGTAAATATGTACTTAAAATAGTTTCAAAAGTACTTTAAGTATTTTCCATTTAAGTACTTCCTGTTAAAAATTACTTAAGTATTTTCAGAAAAAAACTTTAAGTAGATTCTGATTTTCCAGTACATTTTTCAAGTAACAAGTATTACCACAAAAGCGTTAATTTAAGTACAATTATAAGTACTTTTTTTAAAATGTAATAAGTACATTTCCAAAAGTATCTTCAGTTCATAAATACTTTAAGTACTTAAAAAAATACTGATTATTTATTTCAAGTACTTTTTGTACTGAGTACCTCAGCTCTGCCTGGGTGAATAATTAACAGGTCCATTTTTCGAAATTAATTTGTCTTCTATGCGTTTGGCGAACCAATGGTTGACTTTCAAAGTAAATTTGAAGAAACTGGTAGTGTTGTTCAAGCGTAAATCTATTCTAGTCTAAGATCCGAAGTAAGGTTGACCTTCACCCATCTGTTTAATGGATGAAAGTTTATTTTTATTAAATAAAATATGTATATAAATATACGGCAAATGGGTTGTCTAAGAAAATACGGTCCAGACTATTTATTTTCTTAAAGTAAAAAAAAACGACACCCTGTAAACTATTCCCCAGATGCTTCTACTATGCCCAAACTTTAATCAGCTCACCGCAAGATGGATTGAAGCTTAAATTTAAAATTTGGTGTTTTTCTCTTCATCCGTTTTTGAGTTGTCTTCAAAATTCGAAATTTGCACTTTTTCTCAAATATCTTAAATTAGGTCCATTTTTGGGAAATCATGTATGGAAACAAAATAATAGAGAATGAGATCATAAGCAACTTTTATCATGATTCGCATACTTTCCCTATCTGTACACAGAAAGAAAAGTAAAAAATGGCCGTGACCGTATTTTCTTAGGCAACCCATTTGCGGTATATTTAAAAACATATTTTATTTAATAAAAAAAAACTTTTATCCATTAAACAGATGGGTGAAGGTTGACTTTACTTACGGATCCTGGACTATTCATAATGATTTGCCAAAGTATATTGAAAATAAATTTTATAAACAGCGTCAGACTGACAGTAGTCGTCATGTAAAGTTCTATTAAACCTAAAAAAACAACCTTTAGACTGTCACGTCACATAGAAAGGTAACCGTTTTGCTGATTCACTTGCCAAAAAGGCAGCCAACCAAATACTTTTTGGACCTGGCCCTTCTATTGGCCTGACAAAATCGATAGTGACAGACCTAATTAAAGAACATTCCCTTGTGAAATTCAAGGAAATATATGATGAAACAAGAAGCTGCAGACTTGCCAGGGAGCTTTTAAGTTATTCTGACAACACTACAGCGAACAAATAGTTGACTAAGATTAGACAGAATCTGCGCCTGATCACAGGCATTTTGACTGGACATTGCCAACTACGGAAGCATCTCCATATCATGGGACTGTCAGAATCTGCACTCTGCAAGGCGTGCGAACAAGATGAGACCATCGAGCATATCCTTTACGATTGCTCCACGAGAGATGGGCGTACCTACACCGTGTGACTCGTATATTTTTTCCTTCCTAACCTTATAGGTATTTTTGCATTGAACAGCACATTTAGACAGACAAAACGATACAAGGTGTTATTGTTTACAAGAATCAGAGGAAAAAAGAAGTAACTTTAGCTAAATCTCGTACATTGTATTAACATTATTTTTTAATAAAGTCGTTTATTATTATTCCCAAATAAATTTTGTATACAGAATCCATTGGTAACATCAGATTTATCATCTGAGGCATGAGATTCAAGGTATGGGCCAAGAAAGTGGTTGCATGTGAGACATGAGTTACGTATACATTGGAATATTTACACTGAACCCTGAATTGCAATATTTTCAATTTCATATCAGGCATGCGATTCGCCCACTAAAGGCTAGTAGTTTTTCGTTGATGAACAAATCGCTGATAATTTCTGACAGTTCATATAAATAACATTGTAGGAATGGAGTATTTTCCTAATTAGCATATATTCGAGGTATTTGTAATAATCATAAGACCTATAGGAACAAACTTGATAAATTCAATTTTTTAACAATTAGTTATGAAGATTTTTTTTAAATATTCTTTTTGGAGGTAAAAAAAAGGCATACAAACAACTATAGACAAATCAACAATGATTATTGATAAAGATCAAATCAAAATATTTGTCTGTGCATGAAAATTAAATAATTTATTATAAATAGAGACAGAAAAGTCAACACATAAATACAGAGGAATTTAAATGAAAATATTTTTGTATTGAATGAAAACACCTTTGACGATATAAAACGAACACAAATCCGTCCGCCAAGCAAATAATTATAAATGTATAAAATTATAAAATCTAATTACAATAATTTGTGGTAGAACGAAATGCATTTTATTTGATTTTGTTTTCGTAAACACCCATTTTTTTTATTGATGACGGTCACGTTGCAGTTTTTTGGCGTCAAATGCAATATGATCGGTGAAATTTCATACTTCATTTATAAATTATTTCTGTATCGAATCAAAAGTACTGCCATTTTCCCAGCACTGCATCCTTGATGGCGTCTACATATTGAGCGGGCACCCAATAAATCCAATAACGTGATGCTTCGGTAGGCCCTAATTGTATCCCCTACGAAAAATGTAAAATTAAGACAATAAACACTCAAACTATTATTCAAGCAAACAACATATTCATTTATAATTTATTTTTCTATAAGATTACACAGGGCAACAAAAAAATATTTTTTTTTTGGTGTCTGGGATTTTAGAGCTGATTGCAGAAAGGGTACAAGTCATGTTTTCGCATATTTTGAGATTTTTACGTGAATCGACAGTTCAACCCATTGTGCGCATAAAGGATTCATATTCTGATAAACACCATGTAAAATAATAATTCATTTCAATAACGTTGAGTGCAGAAAATGTCTAAGTCAATTGACTTGTACCCTTTATGCAGTCAATTGGATCGCAAGGTGGCGCTGCTAGTAAAATATCGGTAGTTGTTATTTTAATTTTCTGTCAGATAGATTATCTTGTCCAGCCATGGAGGACGTAAATAATTTAAAACGTAAAAAAGGGGTAGTTAACTGCGATGGATATAAAAGGAATATTATTAAAAAGTGGCGGTAAGTTTTAGTTGTTATAATAAAACATAATCTATTGAATTTTTTAATTTTTTTTAGTGTTAAAGGCCAAGAGTACGTACATTATAAAGGTAATGTTGTTCCTGCTAAATCTGTTGGAGACCCATGTAACTGCAGGTTCAAATGCTTGGAAAATATTACTAATGAGCAGCAGCTAGAGGCATTCGAAAGATTTTATAATTTAGCTACAAAGGACGAACATGACTCGTATTTACAGGGACTTGTTCATGTTTCTAGTATCAAAACTCGCCGCTCACGAGTACAACAACTTAGGGAGAACAACAAACGTAACAGTAGTTTTAAATATTACGTACTGATTGCAACTGAAAGAAAAATGATTTGTAAAAAGGTATTCTTATCTGTTCACTCCATCAGTAATAAAAGATTACAACGTATTCAGCAGTTGTTACAAGCAGGAGTTACGCCTACAGATAAAAGAGGAAAACAAGTCAGTGCTAATGTTATCCCCGCCGAAGAGAAGATTCGTATTCATGAGCACATAAATTCGTTTCCTGTAAAAACGTCCCATTATTCTTCAAGAGAATATCATTATTTTAGCTCAGAATTGACAGTAAGGACCATGTATTGGATGTTCAAAGAAAAATATCCAGACTCAAAGATTAAGTACGAATACTACAACAGAATTTTTAAGGACGATTTTGATCTGAAGTTTGGTAGGCAGCAGGACGACACATGCTGCACTTGTGAGAATCTTTCAATCAAAATTAAGAGTAAGGATCTAAATGAGAATGCTAAAAGAGTTGCTATTGCTGAAATGCTCGTGCATAAAAGACGAAATAAAAAGTTTTACACGGCACTGCAGGAGTCAACAAAGAAGAGCAAAGAGTCTAACAATGTAGTTGCCCTTGCGTTTGACTATATGCAAAACTTACAGCTTCCAAAAATACCAGTACAGGATTTATTCTATTTAAGACAATTAACAGTAATCGTTTTTTGCATACACAACATGAAGACTGACCAAGTTGTTTACTTCATTTATCATGAAGGTTGTGGCAAAAAAGGCCCTAATGAAGTATGTTCCTTTCTTTAACAGTATATAAAGGAATATATACCTGATAGTGTGAGGGAACTGCATCTCTTTAGCGACAATTGTCCTGGTCAAAACAAAAATAACACCCTAATTCGAACGTGCCTGTTCCTGAAAGATTCCGGCAGATTTGATATTCAGCAATACTTTCCCATTCGAGGACACTCGTTTCTGCCTTGCGATAGACTTTGGAAACATTAAATGAAAGTTAAAAAAGTCGATCGTGTTTATACCATATGTCAGTATATAGAAATTATAGCATCTTCCAGTAACAAACATAAAATGTCTAATCCATCTTGTGGATTTTAAAGACTGGTGGCCTGGACTTTATAAAAAAAAAACAGCTATTTCTATTGAAACCTATCAAAGAGGTACGCCAAGAGATAGAAAAGTTGCGTTTAACATCAGCAACTTTCATCAGTTTTCCTTCTGCAAGAATGATGGGAAAGGTGTAGTACTTGCCAAAGACTACATTAATAGATTCGAGAAACATACATTTTGTCTAGGACTTTCTAATATTGTAGCTGAACCTAAAGTATTTTGTTACCTAACAGGAAAACTTCCCATAAAATCAGATAAAATGGATCACATAAAGAAATCGACTAAATATGTGAACGACGTTGAAGGAACAAAATAATTTTGGGATAATATTTTTAGTTGGCCTATTATAAATTAAAAATCTGTGTTTTGTTAATCCAATTTTTTCTTACAGTCTGTCCTAATAAGGTGTTTTTCGTCAATTACTCCGTCTTTCTTTTTGATTCTTCCAATTGATAACAGAAAGGTATATGTTAGTCAACTTAAAAGGTCTATAACTTTTTACTGCTTAAAGCAAATATTTTCAATTACCCCTAAAAGGGATAGTGTTTTGATATAGTCTTTACATGCACATTCAGTTTTTTTTTTTTATAAATTATGCTCCAGTTCGAAAAACAGTTATTTGCATTTATCTCAGAAGTTAAGTTCAGTGACATATATCCTTTCTGCAATCAGCGATTCAACTATATTTGGGACGCTAAATCTGTACATGCAATCTGTTTTTCTCTATCAGCTCTACTTTTTTAGATACATCAACTTATCTACCAATGTGGTTTTTATTCAGTATATTCATTTATGAGAGTTCTAAAATTATATATTCATTAATGTAGGTACAGTGGTTTTATTGTCAGTCTGTAATTGAGTAAATTCCAGGTAAATCTATAAATAGTGGAACCATTGCCTATCAGGTACCTGAACTGACTCATTTAATCCCTTAACTCGGGTAAGTCTCGTCAGTTTGTGCGTTCCTAATGAGAGTAGATCGAATTCGGCTTGTTATTTTATGTTAAGAAAAGAGTGTTTTTGTGTTATTGAACAGAATTAAAATGAGTTCAGGTTCTAGTTCAACCTGATGTGTTTTGCTATATATGCAGAGAATACATATTTCAACAAAACAGACAAACTATTACTGACTTTGTAAAGCGAGCGTATCTTGGATTTAACCTTGGTGATCAGGACAAAAAGTGGGCCCCGCATCTTGTATGTAAAACTTGTACAGAGCATTTACGGCAGTGGACTACCGGGAAAAGAAAATGTCTAAAATTCGGCGTACCAATGGTTTGGAGAGAACCAAAAAACCACTTCAATGATTGTTATTTCTGTTTAGTATATACTAAAGGAATCAATCGAAATAACCGCAGTAAGTGGACTTATCCCAATGTAGACTCGGCAATACGCCCGATTCCAACATTTCATCAGCTACCAGATATCTCTGATGACGAATATTTTCCCTCTGATCGCTGTTCTGATGCTAATAAAAGTTCTGATGCTAATGAAACTAACAGTGACTATGAGATGTCATCAGTTCCTCAACGCTTCAATTAAAATGAATTAAATGATCTCACCAGGGATCTCAATTTATAAAAAAAAGCTTCTGAAGTACTGGCTTCTAGGTTGAACGACAAAAATTTATTGGAACAATGAACCAAAATTACCTTTTACCGTACAAGAGCAAAGTATCTGCTACCATTCTTTTCTCAAGAAGACAATCTTGTATTTTGTCACGAAATTAATGGACTCATAAAAGAAATGGGACTTTCTGAATATATTCCAGATGAAGTTTAAAATGTGTCCTTCTACATAATGGGAATAAATATGGTTCAAGACCATTAGCTCACTCAACGAAACTGAAAGGAGAATATAATTCCGTAACTTCAGTCTTGCAGAAGATAAAGTATCACGAACATCAATGGATGATTTGTGTAGACTTAAAAATGGTAAACTTTCTTCTTGGGCAGCAAAGTGGTTACACGAAATATCCGTGTTTCTTGTGCCTCTGGGATAGTAGAGACAAAACACACCACTGGATTAGAAAAGATTGGCCTCAAAGAGAAAACATGGACGTTGGGGAAAAGAATGTCGTTAAGGACGCTTTGGTTGAAAGATAAAAAATCATACTTCCTCCGTTACATATAAAGTTGGGCTTAATGAAGCAATTTGTAAAGGCTCTTGATAAGAATGGGTCATATTTTGCATATATAGGGGTAAAAATGCATCAGTTGAGCACAGAAAAACTCAAAGCAGGGATATTTGACGGCCCACAAATAAGACAATTAAGTAAGGATCCTGCCTTCATAAATTCAATGAATCAAGTTGAACGAGAAGCTTGGACATCATTTGTTGCAGTTGTAGAAAAATTTCTAGGCAAACATAAAGCTCAAAACTATGTTGAAATGGTTAACAAGATGGTTAATAGTTTCAAATCCTTAGGGTGCAATATGAGTATTAAAATACACTATTTACACAACCATTTAGACCGTTTTCCAGAAAAATTAGGAGACATGAGTGAGGAACAAGGTGAAAGATTTCACCAAGATATTAAAGTTATGGAGGACCGCTACCAAGGAAGATGGGACATGCACATGGTGGCAGATTACTGCTGGAGTTTAAAAAGGGACTGTTTAAAAAAACATTCAAGAATGTCGCGGAAAAGAAGCTTTCGAAGTGTTGAGTGACTATTTGATTTCTTCAATGTTTTTTTTTTTGTTTGTAAGTACGACATAATATTGTATTTTGTATAACTAAAATAAAAATTTCGTATCTACTTTTATTTACTACACTTACGGATTTGAGTTAACTTATATTTCTCTAAAATTGTATATCTTAAAAATTTCAGCTCCTAGGTAAAAATGAATACGTTATTTGAATTCAGGACATTGCTCAAAAAACCTCAACACCAAAACAGCTGTTCCCCTGTGTTATTCTTTTTCAAGTCTCTTCCAATCACTTCTTACCAACTCATCTTTCTCTATCCATGTGAAATAATAATAAAAAATTACATTTTTACTTACCAATATATGGTACTCTTCATGGTCATCGATCGGTTCAGATACCACACCTTTAATTGATCCCATAGGCAATTTTTCAGTTCGTTCTTTAGTGCTCAACCACAACTGGTCGCTTTCCAATTTAAATGTTAATCTAACTTTACCACCATGCTTGTTCAACATTCCGGATAACGGCATCGGCGGCAATCCTTCCTAAAAAATAGTTTATGTAAAGAAGCTTAATTCCTGGGCTACCTTCACCTCTTGTAAACCTTAATATTTTTTATTCCGGGCATAATGTCTTCTGGTAATCCTTTATCTAAAACTTTCCGATGTATTTTTTGTTTGCACAGAGGTTCCTTGGACGTTGTCGCTTTGTCCGCCTCGACGATGTCCTACAACACATTTATTTTAATTTTATATTATTAGCGGAACCTCGCTGTACACAGTACTTATTATTTTTTCCTGTCTTTCATAGCCTAACATAGAGAGCGACATAACAGCAACGGTACTATCCTCGATTGAGTCGAGAGGTGTAATGAATACCTAAATTTCTAAGGCAGCACAGCCGATGGGATGCGCTGTTGCCAATTATATCCCTCTACATTATAATCGTATGGTAGGCAGGAAAAAATGTATATTAGTATACGAAATAAATTTTAAATACATATAAATTTAAGAATGTTAAAGTGAAAATAATTATAGGTAGAATCTATAACAATGATAATGTAGGATCTATAAGTCATGTATGTAGAAGCTTTACAAACCATTTTATATTATATAATAAATCATTGTATGTAGATAGAATATAATATATTAAACAAATCATTGTGAAATACATACAAATAATTGTGAGATCAACATATCATTTCATTTTAGGGTCTATAAATGCATTGCATGTAAAATATACAAAATATTGTACATTATATAAAAATCGTTGTAAAATCCATAAAACTAATTATAGAATCTAAAATATGACTGTTTAAGTTAATACTATCATTTATGAAGTATATGTGTCCTAGTGATGTAAAGGGGGGAACTTTTCCTTCGTGCTGTGGGAAACGTTCGTGCACAAATGACAAACGTTCCCCAGGGAGCACATTCGGCACGGACGATAATTTTCAATTTTTCTTTGGTTTGTTTTAACTTTTTCATAATTTCGTAGGGGGAATTGGGTATTCTATATTATTTTCCTATTTCCAAAATTTCATTTGTTTTTTTGATCTCAATCGATTTTCTTACTTCATCTTTCTTTGTCATTTTACTTATGTGTAACCTTAGATTAAAGAGACCGAAGATGTAACATTGCACAATGCGCATGTTGTCTATTTTAATCCAAAGTAACCCACCAATTGAAAATCATTGTTTGCACGACGCCACCCGAATTGCTCCGATTTTTCCATTCAACGATCACCTCCGCCTGAGTTCAATCTGTTTTTTGATTTATTTGTTGGTATTTTAGCAATTTAAAGTGTTCTAGTTATTCAATTTCAAGTTCAAAATGCCATGATGTATCTTGAAAAATGGTATATACTTATAATACAAGTACCTGTGTTATGAAAGATATATTCGTTTTCAGCGGTAAATATTTATTAACGTTTTGACATAAAGCGCCATGATCCTCTGCGCGGAATACTTCAGATCCGCATTAAGGAGTTTCAATAAATATTAAGCATCAAATACATATTTCAAAAATCAGATTTCATATTACTTACATAAATTTACAAAAGGGTAAAATTTTAAACATTTAATTTAAATAAGAAGTAAATAGGCATTGTTGCTAACGAAATTTTGTATTTAAAAAGTAGTTTTATAAGAATGTTTTCTAAAGGTGGTTTTTAGCCCTTTTTGGTAGACAAATAAGAAATAAAGAAGCATAGTTGCTAGCAAAATTTTATTTTTATAAGAATATTAGATGAAATACAGGATGACCTACTTAAAATTTCAAGGTTCATCTATTTACGGTCAAATCAAAAGTGACATTGAATCTTCAGTCTTAAAACAAAGTAAAACGCACCGTATGATCTAGTATAAGCAACAAAATACTAAAGTTACTGGAGTTAGTCACATTGTTAATAAAATGTTACATTATAAACCCCTAAACAACTCGAACAATATTTTCGTGAAAAAATCCAAATTTTAGCAATATTTATTATACAATAGAATGCGGTTTCAAAGATACTGGGATCAAAAAATTTTTGAGCTAAATGCTCGGATAAAAGCAAGCGACTGACAGGGGTTACAAAAATAATCGATTTATCGATTATTCTGATATTTTTGTATGAAAATCGATTTATCCGTTATTTTTAATAAATTATTTTCGTTTTTTTAAGATAATGTATTAATCTATTTTTAAGGAAATACATATTTATTCAAAATATTCGATTGATTGAAAAAATAGATTTTTTTTTGAAAAATCGATTTATCGTTCAATCGGTTTTTTTAATTATTCGATTATTTTTGATTTTTCAAAGATATTATATGAAAATAATCGATTGATCGAATATAATCGGTTATTTTATATAACCGATATTTTGGTTATTTTTTTTTAATTATCGGTTAATCCGCTTTTTAATAATCGATTATTTTAGATTAGAAAATAATCGATAATTCGGTTATTTTTTGGAAAATCGATTTATCGTAGAATTGGCTTCTTAATTAATTGGTTATTTTCGATTAGGCGATTATTTTTGGTATTTCAAAGATAATCGAATTATCGATTTTAAAGGAAATACAATAAAAATAGATTATTGATAATAATCGATTGATCGAAAATAATCGATATTTCTGTTTTTTTTTTTGAAAATCGATTTATCAGTTAATCGACTTTTTAATTAATCGATTATTTTTGATTAATCGATTATTTTCAAAGATTATCGAATAATCTGTTTCAATGGACGAATAAAAAATGGTTTATTTGAAAATAATCGATTATTTTCAATGATCGATAATTTATTTCGATAATCACTCACCCCTAACGACCAAATGACTTTTAATAGATTTAAATTTTAAAATGTTATCTGGTTTCAGACATGCATTTCTAGAGTTTTATGTGACTCATCCTCTATCATAATTAATATTCCTAAAGAAAGAAGCCTTAATATACCTTTTTCTGAGGTTACAATATAAAACAGCATTTTCTCATTTTGACTAATTTTTAATATTATGTAATAGCCGTAGAAATTCATAAGGTTATATTTTCAGTATTCGCCTATGCACATGCTTTTTTTATAATACTCGTAGACAATGAGTACCATTTCTGGCTCTATTAACAATATTCTATTTCAACATTTTATTGTAATCTCTTGCAGAAAAGTCCGTAGTAAATAAACGCTAACGAAATATTCTATAAAAGGTCTTCTCATTACATAAAATGTCGAGGCATCTGTTTGATATTAAAAATCCCGTTAATTTTTATTTCATAATACAAAATTCCATAAAACATCTTTTAAATAAATCTAATAGTTCATTAAGATGCTAATAAACAAAGTCCGGTCCCTGTCAGAGTTCGGGTCGCCGCCCAGTTCCCCCTCTCCGTTAACCTTTCTTTAGAAATTGGCAGCATTTGCGCAGGTTAAACACCGGTGTATGTTATATCTTTGGTCTCTTTTATCAAAGTATGTAACTTAATCTTTTGCAATTTTTTAACTAATACAGATTTTTAATGTTAGAAGTTATTACTGTATTATATGCAACAAAAATATTAATACAGCGTCATTTTATTATGAAGCATAAGGAGAATATTTAGCAGTTTCAGCATTTTGAGAATTTCAAACATTTTCAGAAAGAACCGGGAAAAGTAAGTTTCACTACTCTCGTTCATGCTTGGGGAACGTTCTTCAAAAATACGTGATCGAGAATTTTACATCACTACTCCTGTCTGTAAACTCTAACATAACATACACCAGTCATAAAACATTCAAAGAAACAGTGTTTCTGAGATGTCTGCTGATACAGCTGTATGTATCAACTTCTGAGTAATTATAACAAACAGAAATTTAATTATTTCATAAATCTGGGTTCTTTTATTGTAAATGAAATTAGTAATCATGCGAAACATTTCTAGACTGCATATTTTGGTCAAAGTGGCATTCTAGCTTATCTCCTGACATGAATCTAATAGATATTCCTTTTTGCGCCATATAAAAAATATAATGTTTCAACCACTAGGCACTATAGGTACAATCATATAATTTATCTCTCAGTTTGCTATTATAGATTTGTACGTTACACAATAAATCTATTCTAATATTGTCTTTATAAAAAGTAATTATTCAGATATAACAGTATTTTAAAAATTTTGGCAGATAAAACTAATTGTTAATTATTATTGGATTATTCATGTTAGTTTCACTATGTTTGAATATATGATTAAAAATATGAACTATAAAAAATCTAAATGTGTTATAAAAAAAAGAAATGGTGGAATATGAAAGTATATCAAAGTACTGTACCTGTTTGCTTACGGATGACACAGCAAGAACATCATTTAAAGTGGACCCTACTAACATAACTTTTGAGCCTTTTGTAATTCCAGAACTAGATATTGTTTGACTATCTTGCAGAAGGCCTTTGAACATAAGCTTCTGCATTGAGTCGGGGACACCTAAAATATATAAATACCTACATTTTCCTCTTTTTTTATTAAAAAGGTATTAACACTTCAAAATATACAGTGGAAACGTCAAGTATTGCCCCTCCCCCTGTAAACTTATTAAAACAATTACGACAAATGCTCAGACCCATAATTTTTGATTTTAAAGGAAATAAATTCCAATTCTGAATGTGATCAATTTAAACATAAAAACAAAGGAAAACGAGAAACACTCAAAGTCCGTGTCACAGGAAAGTCGAGCAACTGTTTCCTTCTTGAAAACTATTACACATTTGAATAATACCACAAATAGTGCTTGAGGGGAGAAGTGGGAATTGCTCCACATCAACAAGCACTTAAACCTGATAAAAATAACTTAGAGGACAGGTTTAGATTATTAAAGGCCCCTTTACACATGCTAGTGCACTAGGTCGAGTTGGTTACTGGGTCGAGATTTCTAGGCTGCAGTGTTTTCACTCAATCCTGATTGGATTGAAAAAATTAATTGCTGGGCACAAGGACAGAGTAAAATTTTTGTTCGGCTAGTAAAAGCGCTTGCTCAAAGTTCGCATTTTTTTGGAACTGTACTTTTTTCAGTGCCAGCCAGTTCCGAATTAGAGGTTAGATTTTACTTTCAATTTTTATATGTTTCGCTTGTCTTTATTATTATCCAGTAGTAATGAAGATATTAGTGATGATAGTGAGGAAGAGCTGTATAAAATGTTGAAAACAAAAACTGACAAAAATTTAAGGATATAAGTAATGAGAACATACTGAAAAAGAGGCAAATTCAATTAATTACATTTATATATTAATACATAAATGGTTTGTTCCAACTTGATACATAACCATTCAGTAACGGTACAGCGCATGCGTATTACACTCCAAGCGTTCCAACTTAATTTGTACGATGTGCGGGTTGATACAGAATTCGTTCCAACTAAAAAATGGATGATTCCGGAATCGTTTCTGTACCGTCATATCGATTCACAAATTTTTGTTGAACTGTTAGAACTGACTTGCGCAAAGCGATCGATATATGTTGATAGAGCCGATAGAGGTTAGTTTTAGTTTACTTAACCTACAAATTTACAGCGTTTTTATGTTTTGATAGGTAGATAATAACAAAATATACATTTTTATTTAGAAAATACTGTTTATAAACCATATTTGGAAAATGAGTGATATAGAAGGAGACAGTGGTTTTTTTGATGATGATGCTAGTGACGATGATTTAGAATTAATGGTAAATTGAGAAAGGATAATAAACAAAATTATTTGAACAGAATATATTCATTATTTACCAATATTTTCCATTGTGCTCTAGAATATAGAATGATACAATAAAAAATCAATAACATCCATAATTATAAAACTAGTTTATTTTTATTTTCTTTTCGAAAAGTTTCGTTAGAATTTTCTTCCTCTTCTATTTTATCTATTTATAAACCATCAGCAGTTTTAAAAGCGTTCCAACTCATTTTAGATTCCAAAACCATTCAGAGATGGGCTTGCGCAGTACATCGTTCATAAACTGATGTTGGTATGATACAAGAACGGTACCAAACACCAAGTTGGAACAAACCTAAAGATTGTAAACTTTTCACAGAAATTTCTATAGAGATCAAACGATGAGTTTTTGAGGCCGATACAGATATCGGTCGATACCGATATACACATGGCCGATACCAATAATATCGGCAATTTTTTTTTTTTATTTATTAATTCAGGGGGCCTTGCCCATTTTTATTACAAATTTACAAATAAAAAAACCTCAAATAGAGTAAATCTAAATAATATGTCATAATAATGATAAACTAATAAACTAACAACAAAAATAATAAATATATTAACATGTACAAAATCGAAACAACTAATATTAAGACTAGGAAATTTAAGTCACAGTAAGTTTTAACAGCCTCACAAAATTAGAAAAGCTTGAATTAAAAAATTCTAGACTATCAGCACAAGCATTAGCGCTTCGTGAAACTCTAGGCCTGAATGGATTGAGGCCAGTATTAGTTCTCATGTAGGGCTGATGATCTTGAGCTTCTAGTTGGGGATGGCAACAACATGCTTGAAAACAATGTAGGGGAGTCAACCATATAATTAATGAGCTTAAAAAATAATTTCAGATCTGCCTGATCTCTTCTTATTCTCAAAGTTGGTAAGAAGAAGGTCTGTTGCAGTGCTGCAAAATCATAGGAATAGTCATCTATCCGTGGAGTATTTGATTTAAATGCTAAGTAGCGAAGAAATTTTCTCTGAACCTGTTCTAATCTATAAATGTGACAAGTATACTGGGGATTCTAGACTGAAGAGCTATATTCTAGCAGAGGCCTAACAAGACTACAGTACAATAACCTGGTAGCATTAATACTTGTAAAGTCTGACGTGTTTCTCTTTATAAACCCAGCATACCAAGTGCTCTAGGTACTATTGTGTCGATGTGATTGACAAATGAGAGCATGGAGTCCATAATAACACCCAGATCTTGAATAGATGCAATTTGGGACACTGGTTTACCCTTGATATTTATGAATATTTCAAAATTAACTGATTATGTTAATTTAGTAAAAATTGCTAAGAAATCAAATCAGGTAAACCAAGAGGTTCTGGACAATGTCCCTGATTCGATTTCTCTAGGTTTATTTTGGAATACCTCTGAAGAACTTACCGGTATGACAGCAAGTAAATCACCACCATATAGGACGAAGACAGATACTGATATGATAAAGATATAAAATTAAAGGTTACCTTAAAATTTACAGAAGACATTTTTTTACTATTATAAAATATAAATGTGCAATAATATACTTAGCAGTCCCCACCAAGTAATGTGGCTAGTGAACAGCTATTGTAATCAGCTGGTATTGTATAGGATGATTCATTAAGGGTGGAGACCGGTCGTATCTCAGAATATCTTGAAGTAGATCGCAAAAACAGTTAAATTTTTATTTCAATGGAGGCAACTTTCTATAATATTCTCAGCTGTCATAAGTCATTTCTCTTCCCTCCACCACTCTCACTAGTACAATTTAAATAGGGTAAGTAGCAAGTATGATACATCATCAAAATGGTAATTTTATTGGGAATTCAGCAATATGATCATTCATTGAGTTACTTTTTATTTTAACGCCTTCTAACGGCATAAAAGTGTGACACTTCATTTAAAAGTTAATTTTATTAGTAATCAAATGCACCCCATAACATTAGCTTAAATATCTCCATATTGCACTTGCAACAAAATAAAGTTAGTAATAAAGCAAAAGTACCTAGTGCATTGCATTACTAATAAAATTAGCTTTTAAATGAAGTTGTTGTTAAAATGAAAACTAATGTAACGAACAGTCATGTTGTACATTTATGGTGATGTGACATACTTGGTACTTTTCCAATTTAGGGTATGGTCCGTTATTAACCGAAAATATCGGTTACTCCGTCCAAAACTAACCGCTCTGCTTGAAATTCCTGAAAAATCGAGTAAATTAGGGTCGCGGTTACCTGAAAATGGTGACTCAAACGTCAATTCACTAACTGCTATATTTTTACGGTTACTATTAGTCGAATGACAATCTGTCACAAAAGTGACGTAAATCTCTGCCGTGGTCCAAATGTAACCAAGAAATTAGTTTTTTTCAAGAACCGCTGTCAAAAAATCCTGGTTACTTGCGGTTAGTAGTCGGTTAATATCGGACCATAACCTTAAATTGTATTGGTTAGATGGACGGAGGGAAGAGGAATGACATATGACAGTTGAAGATATTATTTTTATTTATTTACGGGCAAGCCCATTTGAGAAATAAATTACAATTTTAAAATTATAATTAAAATGTAGTGAAATATATATGGTGCTGAAATACAAACGTGGTATAATTCATTACGTATAGACTAAAATAGGTAAATAATTTAAAAAGACAAAAGACAATACGGATGAATAAAATATTTACATTAAACATTAAAAATTAAAGATCAAAGATTAAAGCTCAGTACTAAGTAATTGCTTTATAAATTTATCAAAGGGGGTGTTAAATATCTCAAGATCATTATGAGTGTTGGCTAATCTTAAAATTCTTGGAATACAACTGCTAAAAGTATGGTTTAAACGATAAAAAGATACATAAAATGTTTGTTGCTGTCAAGTTGAGCACGTTGGAACAAAAAGATTTATTTTTGTTAGAAGTTAAGTACAGCTGCATCTGCCTTTGATAATTTTGAAAAGTAATGTCAGGTCTCTCTGTTTCCTCCTAGTTTCCAAAGAGGGGATGTTTAGAAAATTCTCTATCAAACCATACTCGCAAAGGACACCCAATTTATAGGCTATTTATCTAAAATTTATGTTGCACATTTTCTATGTTTCTGCTGTGTGTTATGTAATGTGGAGACCAAACAGAAGAGCAATAATCTAGGTGAGGTCGGACTAGTGAACAATAAAGGACTTTAATTGCAGTTGTGTCAGTAAAATCATGCTTTAGCCTTTTGATAAAACCTAACATTTTCATGGATTTATGGATAGCCTTAGGTATGTGTTGATTGAAGCTTAAAGTGGGATCTAGAATAACTCCAAAGTCTTTAATTTGATTAACAGACTCCAAGATATAACCATTTAAGTTATAATCAAAAGTAGTAGTTGGTACATGGGATCGATAAAAGTGCATGGCATGGCACTTTATGGCATTCAAGTCCATGCCATTTAAGGAGCATCTTTTTGATAGATTATCAAGGTCAGACTGGAGCCTGAGGGCATCGTAAATGGTTTTAATAATTAGGAAAACTTTTAAATCATCTGCAAACAATAGTGCTTTGCCATACTGAAAACAATGAATGATGTCATTTATAAATAAATTGAATAATAAGGGACCAAGGTGTAATCCTTGAGGAACACCTGAGGTAACTTAAAATGAGTTAGAATAGTGATGGTTTACTCTTACCATTTGAGTTCTGTTCGTAAGATATCTACTAATCCATCTCAGTACGACCCCATTTATGCCATATTTATCGAGCTTTTGAAGTAAGAGAGAATGGTTGACCCTGACAAAATCCTTAGATAAATCAGTGTACACAGAATCAATCTGGCAACCCTTCTCCAAAGCTTACAACAGGAAATCTACGTAGGTAACTAGATTTAATTCAGTCAATTTCCCATCACCAAAACCATATTGATGATCTGTTATGATGCCAGAGCAGTCATAGGTAAGGTAGTCTATTATAATATTCTCAAAAACCTTAGGTATAGTACTGAGAATAGATTGATATAGGTCGGTAATTTTTGACATTTGACTTGCTACCCCATTTGTATATTGGGGTGATATAAGATATAGTTTCCAATAATCTGGAAACTCACCCGTGACGATAGATTATAGAACGGTGTGCTCCTTGAAATAAAAATCGACACTTTCTACTTCAAGATATTCTTAGATAAGGACAGTAGCTACCCTTAAAGAATAAGAGCACAAGAAATCGTGTAACCTCAAAAAGAACAGATAATTTAATTTTGCTGCATTTTAATGTACCAAAACTTGACTTTAAGTAGTAAAAAGTTTTTTTTAACCTAATTTTTTCCTTTTAGATTTTAAATGTTTTGTCTTAAATTTTAAATAAAAATATAATTTAAATTGTTTTTTTTAATATTTGTTTTAATTTCTTTAAAAAATTCTTAGCAATTGAAATATTTACTTGATATTTTTATTAGGCAGATATCAATAAAGGCCCATATCGCACTCTACAAATTTGAAAATTAGGACTTCTATAAAAAAAATTTAAACCATGGTTAAAGCCCACTTAAAAGTTCATAAGTAGCTATCTAGTTAAAAACAGATATTAAATTTAGGTTAGAAACTAGAAATGTCAACTGAACCATTTGAATATTGATAAAATGAAGGACCTCATCATTGGTGAACTGATTTGCACTCAGATTTTGCATTGCTCAATATAATTTTGAATTATAAAAATGCTGCCCAAAATAAGTACAGAACTAAAACTGCTCTGGTATCAAGATAAGATCATTCAAGTCAAATTTGCTATTAATTCATTACCAGAGTAATGTATCAAATATTAATGTGAAGTTTGTCAAAAAGGTGACAAAAAATCGTTTTGGTTGTTCAAATATTAACTCAATAATTCAAGTGTTCAAGAAAGTATGCTTAAAAACACGTAAAATCTAACCTACATTGTTAAATAATCTTTCCAAATACCATGCAAGATTATAATTTTTTTGAGAACATTTTAAGCTGTTTCCTTATAAATTATGCCAACTCAACAAAATCCTCCCGACTTATGTCTCATAGTATTGTGAGGATTTTGTTTTGAGAAATTTTTACTCATAATTTCCAAGGAAATAACTTATGTTTGTCAAAAAATTCTCACCTGTTATAAAATTACTGAGGGGTTAATCTAAAGAAGCAACATTTTTGTATAATAAACTCCCAATACAATCACAATGCAGATACAACATGTATAAGCACAAAGTGGGATCAGACTGCCATTATTGTGTATGCAATTTGTCAATCTTGTAGGTTATCTTTCTAGTGTCTGTTTTGTAATTAAATTTAATTTTTATTAGTGTTTGAACGATTTTTGAGTGTAAAAAACTTTATAAAGTGCGTAATGCCTAGATGTATAATTCCTTCCTGCTCTAGCAATGCTCATTTAATTAAAAAATTTACTGGAATAACCTTTCATAGGTTACTATAAAAATTGTAAATTTTGTACAGCACAGTATTATGACTGGTTTGTATAAAATGTGTAAAAGTATGCTTTTAAAAATACAAAAAATATCATCCATCAACTTCTGGGCCTACTTATATTGCAATATTACTTTTTCATACGAAATAATACATTACCATGTGTAAAGGGACTTTAAGTGTCATATCATTTTTGAGTTTCCAACAAAGTGCCACAAGTACCCTCTTGTTATGAGGTGGTGGCTGTCATGTGGACAGAATGAAAGAGGTAGATTTTTATTATAAAGTACCTGGCTGGATTAAAATAATAGTTTTTAGGGGAATAATATGTATAAACTGATCTCAGGTGAATCGGCCCAGTGATATAATCTAAGTTCGATGTGTGTGTGTGATTAGATTTAGGTTTCCCTTGGCTACAGATACTAAGTCCATTCACCAGCCAAAGTTCGATTATATCACATGAATTTAGAGTAGTAACAAATCCGTAAATGTACTTAACAGTTACAGATTTGATACTATCTCCAAATTCCAGTGCAACACTGGAATCACCTGAAACTCTGGAGAAGTTATAACTTCAATTTTCATTAAAGGGGATGACTTAGCAAAGTCTGACTCAACTGAGATCGGTTTATAAATACGGGCCTAAGGCATAACATCTGCACCTACATCCTAAATAACATTATTTGGTTCAGGCAGACAAATATATTCAAAGAAAGTTGAATTATTGAAATACAATTCTGCCAACTAGGAGGTTTAAAGCATATAATAGGTAAATAATCCTTAGTTTTTACTATAGGTATGACACAGCCATAACAAAAAAATAATACATAATTTGGCATTATAGAGAGTATTATTTATTGCCAATAAGCTATCAAAGTTTAACTTCCAAGGTATGTATTTTTGGACGTACTTACCTAGTAAACTTTGTAATTGTTTTTTTAATTCTAAAATTGTAGTATTTGAAGTAGTTGTCACATCATACTTCTTTTTGTTATAAATAACTTTTATTTCAATAGGATCCTGTTCTTTGTCATCCACAATTTTACTACTAGAGTCATTATCACTTTCCGGCAAATCCGTTTTGGGAATTTTCGACTCTGATGGTTTAGTTAGCCTATCATCATCATTTTTTTCGAAATTTTCAGTTTCTTCTCGATCCCTATCTTCTTTGGTAAAATTTTCCTCGACGTTGTTAAGGTGTTTACCTTCACCATTACTTTCAGAATCTATAATATAAGTTTAAATTATTAATATATTTTAATATAGTGTAATAAAATAATAGTTGATTTGCAAGATGGATGGTTTTTGTTCCTAATAGTTTGGTTCAAAACTACATCTTTTATTTACATTCGAACAGAACTAACCTAGACAGTCCATTATTTATTTAATATCTACTAATTCAAGGAGATGGTCCGCGAAAAATAAATAATATTATTTAAATTAAATGAATTTATTATCTGCACTTTCGATTACTTGCATTTCATCTTCAACTCCCCGACCATCTGACGGTGACGTTGACAAATGGCAAATTGACATACAGTGTTGCCAGATTTAATTTCGTCGTGTCGCCACCACCCGCGAAATTGTATGGATGGAACGATATTTTCAGAAGCGATGTATCTCAATGCTACACTTTCGATGCAAAGGAAAAGACCTGATATTTTCAGAAGTGGTGTAGCTCAGTGCTACACTTTCGATGCAAAGGAAAAGACCTATTTATTGTAACTGTCTGTTTTTGCACAAGAATATTGAAAAAGTAGCGGCCGAATTTACTTTATAAACTATTTGGTAGGCCATCAATTTTCAATATAAATAAAACTAACTCCAGTAACCTTATAATAGTGCCTTTCTACGACAAATCAATTACTAACTACAAAAAGTTTCTATACACTATAAAAAATATAATTTATAAATAGAATTTGTGTTATTTCAACTGTTAAAGTTACTTGAGTACTATCAAAATGGTTTATTTTCATGATCTTCTTGCATTATAAGTTGAATTAAACAATAAAGTTTTAAAGCCTACTAATTAGTACCTGCTAATATCTTCGATTTAACGCATACAATTAACACATTTATGTTAAATTTTTAACATATTTCTGCTTATAGAATAGATTTTTGCTGCACAAATGAACTACTATGTTAATTATGACAAGTTAAAATTTTTCATGAATTTACAAAATTGCTTTTCATATTTAACATACGTTATATTTTTAACGTCCGTTAAATTTTAACATATTCGTTATAGAATTACCACTATTACCTTTTTTCTATTTTTACTTTTTTTATTCGATATGAGCATAGATTGATATGAGTGAAAAGAGTAATAGGATTCTACATTAAGAGCTCGAACTCAGTAGGATCAAAAAGAATTTCCGAACTCAGCTCATGTCTAATGTCACAACTGTCTTAAATCACAACAATTTTTGACAAGGCTTTTTAAACATTTAAATTTTGTTTATAAAGTTAAAGTTCATTTTTTAATTATGGTTGTTAATGGTAATAATAAACTAGCGGAGGATTTAGAGCGACAAGAACTTGAGGTATGAATATTATATAATTATAACCTAACATTTTTTTACAGATATATTTAATTTTAGGCCCCTAATGGAGTTCCTTCACCTCAAGTATATCAACAACTTTTAGCCATTTATCTCTACCAGAATGATTTGTAAGCTTAAATATAAAGTTTAATAGTCATATTTAATATTGCCGTTCTTTTTTAGATGCAATGCAAAATATCTGTGGAAACGAATTCCCCCAACTGTAAAAGCATCAACCCCAGAACTTGTTAATATCTGGGCTGTAGGTCAGAGTATGTGGACTAGAGATTTCCCAGCAATATACAAGGCCCTAAATGCCGTAACTTGGTCTGATACAGTAGCTGAAATTATGAAACAAGTTCAAGGTAATCTTCCCTTTCTTTTAATTTAGGCCTTTGTTTTATAGTTCTTATTTTATAGAGGTTGTCCGAGCGAGAGCTGTAGATTTAATATCTCAAGCATACTCATCCATAAGCTTGGAGGCAGTGTCAGCGATGACGGGATTGTCTCCAGAAGTCTGTATACCTGCCTGTGCTGAAAGAGGCTGGAATTTTGATGCAGATACCAAAATGATACGTCCTATTAGACAAGTTATTGAACATTTAGGCCAGACTAGTAGTGAAGATCAACTGTCTAAATTGACTGATTTTGTGTCTTTTCTAGAGAATTGAAGTCTATTAGGTTTTGTGTTAGGTGTTTTATAATAAATTTTTTTAATTGTATCCTATAATGATTTGTTAAAAATAATGCTCTAAATACAACACATGTTTTTTATGTATAAGTGAAATAAATTTCTCTCTTACATGCCATCTGCATTGTTCAGCATTATAGATTTTTTATGTCTCTATATATAAATTATATAACGAACACACAGAATGTGAAGTGAATTGTTGTCATTGATTTTTTGAGGTGTAAGAAGCAATTTAAAACTAAAGTTACCTATTTTAGTAATCCCTATTTAGACTTTTGTTTCAATTTTCTTTTTTTTTTTTTCATATTCATTTCAGTACTTAATGTCCTGTTTAAAAATTTTTTCCATAGGCTCAATCCTATCCTATGGCTAGATTTCGACATGCAAGGCAATGAAGAAACAATCCAGAATTATTTAAAATAGGTACCAAAAACTTGTTTAATATTTTGGGATGTTACTAATATACTATTTAAAAACTTAAGAGTTACTACATCTCATGTACTAAAGATGATATCAGAAAATGCTTAAAACTTTTTTTACGATATGAAGGGGGAAATTAAACGAGAAAATACCTACCTAAATCAATAAATAGAAACCCTCTACTTGTCATACGTCAATGGAAAGTTTGAAAGAGAGTTAAACTGCTTTTCAATTAAATAATAATGTCTTAATTTGCACAAAAGAGTAGCATTATTGTACAGTTAGGATGGGCTAGGTTTAGCCTATGGCCCATGAGTACATAATTAAAACCATTTAAAAAGAAAATGACAAGTTTAACTGAACTAAATATTTGTAGTCCAAGAGGAGTACAAAATAGTTTTTATTAGGCTTTACTTTTCTGATCTCATCTGTAGTTCATGAGATATAGCCATTGTGAGTTTTTAAATTATCACCCTGTATTTAGGCAAATATACTAAATAATCAAAATATTGTTACTTATTCTTGTTATCTATGTTTCCATAAACCTGCTTTGGTCGAAGTAAGTATTTTTACTAAACAATATATAATAAGATTGTTCATTTATTTTTTAACAGACTTCAAAAAAGGATCATCTCAATTCGTTGGTATATATATATATTTTTTTTGTATGTATGTTCAGCGATAATTCTTTAACATGGTGTCCGATTCCAATGATTCTTTTTTGTTAGAAAGCGGGTACTTCGGGGGTGGTCCCATATTAATTTGGTCAAAATCTAATAACTGGGTCCATGATAAAATCCTCAAACTCTTCATTTTTTATGTATATTTAGCGATAATTCTTTACCACTTTTCCGATTTCTATGATTCTTTTTTTTTAGTAAAGAGTAGGTACCTCAGGGGTGGTCCCATATAAATTTTAAGATGTGATGGCATCTGCACGATTTTAAAGTCGGTTTTTTAAAATTACTGTTAATACTTGATTTGTATAAATTTCTGCTGTAAGTCCTGTAGGTATCTGCTGTAAAGGTAAATATACATTCTTGTTATTGAACTTCCTCTGGATTATAACCTTAGACAAAGAATACCTACCCAAGAAGCGAAACTAAATGGTCGATATGTGGACAAAAACTGCCAAGTTTTCTCAGTGTTTTAGAGGTGGTTTAACGTCAAATATAGCTGTCAATTTATGTAGAGCAACGTATGGTATATTATTATTAGCGTTTTGTGAAAACTGCAGTATAGTTAAGTAGTTGTATTTAACTAAGTAGTAATTAGAAATTAGATAGTTTTAAGATTTTTATTAGGTACATAAGAAAAATACATTGCGCTATTCCTAAATTTTAATGAACATTTTTGCATCCGGCTGTAAATGTTTTATTTTTAAAATTTCTAAATCAGTATTACCTTTAATGATAATTTACGACTACGTATTATGCATCGTTTAATTTTTTAGTCTTTTATTTAAAATGTTTTTATTTTGTTTTTTAAACCATTCGAATTAAAACAGTAAATTAACAATAATTAAAATATATGACAAACTCATTCCGAGTAACCCAGTCACTGCTATATCAGGATGCAATCGAAATGCATGCAGTTACCTACAGTACTTCTGGATATGTAATGTGTGGAGGGTGGGTTACCCCCATGCACTTAGGCCTTACTAGGCCCATTGTGTATCCTCCTAAGATCATATATAGGCACCTCCTAGCACGTGAACCCGTCTACAGATTGAACGTAGGTGACAACGTGGCCAAGAGGTTCTTCTCTTATATCGGCCGGTGTTAGCCAATACTCGCCGAAAACAAATCTTCAAATAAATAAGAGCGTCAGGTAATCATAGAGGATATGCTCAATGGTCTCATCTTCTTGTTCGCACCCCCTGCAGGGTGCGGATTATGACAGCCCTATTATATGGAGATGCTTCCGTACTTGGCAATGACCAGTCCAAATACCTGCGATCAGGCGCAGATTCTGTCTAGTCATAATGAAGTATGTGTTTGCTGTAGTGTTGTCAGGATAACTTAAAAGCTCCCTGGAAACTCTGCAGTTTCTGGTTTCCTCCCATCTTTCCTTGAATTTCACAAGAAAATGTTCTTTAAATAGGTCTGTCACTACCTATGTCGTCAGTTCAATAGTATTTGGTTAACTGCCCTCTTGGCTAGTGAATCAGCACCACATTGTTGATGCATACTCTTGCCAAAGCTTCGTAACATTCTAGTACTAACCCTGAGTAAATTCGTAGTCTGTTCAGGGTAAGTAGTGCTTATCTGCTATCTGTATAGATGAGCTTGTTCCTACCAGTGATATTGTTTCTGGTGATTTCTTTTGCTGTCATGAAAATCTCCGTGAGCTTGGTTTGAGCTACACTGCTCACAGCCCATTTTATGTTGAGGTTCAATGAATTGGAGTATATTCCACATCCTGAGCCTTGTTTTGTTTTATAACTGACGGTGTAGATATGAATCATACCTGCCTCTTCCTGCTCTTCTATTCTAAACATCATTTTCTATTTCAACCCTGCAGAGGCGTGTCATTGTCATCAAAGCTACCTCCTTGATGTAAATATCAAGGGGAGTGAGACAAAAAACGACTTCCATGGCTCTGGTTGGTGTAGTTTTCATGGCTCCTGTTATGTTAAGACATGCTGTTATTTGAATTTGTTCTAGTTTGCGGATAGCTGTCAATTTTTGGATTTTCGGTACCCAGACAACTGCACCGTATATCAGCACAGGTCTTATGATGGCCATGTAAGTCCATGTGACGACTCTGTGGAAGAAACCCCAGGTGCTCCCCACGGTTCGGCGGCATTGTTCATAAGCAATGTATGATCTTTTGACTCTATTTTCTAAGTGTGAGTTCCATTTTAACTTGTTGTCAAAGGAGCTACCTAGGTACTTCACTTCTGTTGCAAAGTTTTGTTTTATGTTTAAGAACTCCAGAGGTTTTAATTTCATTTTCTTCCTATTCCTTGTGACAACGACCATTTCTGTCTTCTTGGAATTGATAGACAGTGGATGGTCCTTGCACCACTGTTCCATAATTAAAGACACGAGTCGATAAAGGTGTCATGTCACAAAAAGATTATTTGGAGAAAATCAAATTTTTAAAATTTTACAATTGCATTACGATATATGGCTCATGATACCTTCCTATCTGATGAATAGCCGTTATTTATCAAAATTGGAAATTAGAACTACCTATCACAAACAAAAAATATAGTATATTTTAAGTATAATAGGCCATGAAAATCATTTTTTGAAAAAATGTGACATGATACATGTATCCACTTGTGTCTTCAATTGTTCTCAAAATCTCCAGGTTATTTGCTTACGCTATTGTGTAATGACTGTCATTATTTGTAAGTACAATAATGATACTTATTTTGTTATTAAAATAGTCTATTTTTCAAAAAGAACATAGTAAGAATTTTCTGTATGCCATTGTTACTTTAATGTGTTCAATTCTTATGAACCAAACGACAAAAATTAATTAATTTTAATACGTTTCCCAGTGTATTAAGTTCTCATGCTGTAGTACATACGAAAACTCATTCAGTTTCGCTTCTTGGGTAGGTATTCTTTGCCTTAGATAAAAGAGACCGAAGATGTAACATTGCACACTGCGCATGTTGTCTGTTTTAACCCCAAGTAACCCACCAATTGAAAATCATTGTTTGCACGACGCCACCCAAATTGCTCCGATTTTCCCATTCAACGCTCACCTCCGCCTGAGTTCAATTACCATTGACAGCTGTTTTTTGATTTATTTGTTGGTGTTTTAGTAATTAAAAGTGTTCTAGTTATTCAATTTTAAGCTCAAGATGTATCTTGAGAAATTGTATATAATTATAATACAAGTACCAATGTTATGAAAGAGAAAAAATGTATTCGTTTTCAGCGGTAAATATTTATTAACGTTTTGACATAAAGCCGCCATGATCCTGTGGGCTGAATACTTCAGATCCGCATTAAGGAGTTTCAATAAATATTAAGCATCAAATACATATTTCAGAAAACAGATTAATAATACTTACATAAATTTACAAAACGGGCATAATTTTGAACATGATAGAGAGATAGAGAGATAGAGAGATAGAGAGATAGAGAGATAGAGAGATAGAGAGATAGAGAGATAGAGAGATAGAGAGATAGAGAGATAGAGAGATAGAGAGATAGAGAGATAGAGAGATAGAGAGATAGAGAGATAGAGAGATAGAGAGATAGAGAGATAGAGAGATAGAGAGATAGAGAGATAGAGAGATAGAGAGATAGAGAGATAGAGAGATAGAGAGATAGATAGATAGAGAGATAGAGAGATAGAGAGATAGAGAGATAGAGAGATAGAGAGATAGAGAGATAGAGAGATAGAGAGATAGAGAGAAAGAGAGATAGATAGATAGAGAGATAGATAGCGAGATAGAGAGAGAGAGAAAAAGCTAAAGGGATTGTTCGGGAAATGGAGGATGACAGGGTGATAGGCCCTTCTACCAGCCCATGGTTCTCTCCGGTAGTCCTGGTACAGAAAAAGTATGGAACTACAAGATTCTGTGTGGATTACCTTAGATGTTGCTGGACCATTCCCCATGACCGAGGGTGGTAATAAATACACGATGGTGGTTATGGATCATTTCACGAAGTGGGTGGAAGTCTACGCAATTCCAAATCAAGAGGCCGCAACTGTTGCAGACGTGTTAATAAAATAATTCATCAGTAGATTTGGAGTGCCTTTGGAGATCTACAGTGATCAATTTTAAAAGCCTGCTTTTCCGAGGAATCTGTGACAGATTAGGCATGAAGAAAACCAGAACTACTGTATTGCACCCACAGTCAGATGGAATGATAGAACGAATGAATAAGACCATTGGCAAATACCTGTCAAAAGTAGATTCCAATCATCAGCGAGATTCGGATGAGTATCTTTATCTCTTCTCAATGGCATAATAAGCTGTCAATGAATCTACAGGCCAAACACCAGTAAAGGTGCTGTTCGGGTGTGAGATGAGACTACCGCGTGACTTCAAGTTTGGATGCCGACCTGGAGAAGACATAGCCGGTGAAGATTATGTTCACTCGCATCTTCAAATCGCCCGCGACAGAATGAAGAAGCGATACGATACCCATGCCACAGAAGGATGTTTCAAGGAAGGCGATAAAGTCTGGCTCCATAACCCAAGAAGACAAAAGGGTTATTCTCGCGAAGCTTCGAATGTCTTGGGAAGGTCCGTATATCAAGAAAAAAATAAATAATGTCATTTACCGTATAAGTAAGAAGGTAGTTCACCAAAACCGGCTGGCTTCATTTGAGGGTAACTATGACGAGGAGGAAGTAAACCAGCTCCAAGAATTACCGGACCTTGTCTTTGAAGAATTTATGGGTGCATATGGAGGTACCGGAAAAGAAAGATATGGTGTTACAACCGAGCAACAAGATCTGCTCACGATTCCTAAGGACTACTCGCTGGTCCATAGCACTTCCGCCAACATCCGCCAACGATGTTCGAGGTCTGGCATCTGTTCCGGAAGAAGTATGGTCGATTGCCAGAACTTCAAGGTCAGTTACCAGCCCCTGGAAAAACATTGAAACTTCAATGTGGATCGAGTTATCTTTTCTATTTGGTAACGAAGAACACCTTCCGAGATCGATCTACTTATTATGATGTATGGGAAGCATTACTCAGTCTGAGGGAGCACGTACTGGAGTCCAATGTATAGCCCAAGATAGAGAGCAACCAGCTAATTTGGAGGATCATTGGAAACATGGTGAAAATAATCTTCAAACATTCCAAATACTAGCCTGCAGCTATTCGCCTAGTGTTCAGGTTTCAGCAAAACCCGTCCCTTGTTATTTCCATATGAATGGAAATTGTAAAAGTGGGTCCAGTTGCAGATACCATCATTCAGTTTTAGTTCCAGGAGGAACTATTTTTTAAGGAGGGGACAAGGTGACGCGAAGCCAACCCTGTTCTTTGTTTATTACCGTGCACGCGACAGGAAGTCTAGCGCTGACCACACCGAGGCACATCTCGAAACTCGAGAAACCGATTCGAATGTTTTCCATCGCAGTCTTAGGCGTGAAGGATAATTTCTAGAAATTTTAGACTGAGCTTTTAATCAGAGTTGGTTCTTTCGAGAGCGTTACATTTTTATATAAATAGCCGCGATTTTGTCAATAAAATCTAAGATTCAATTTGAGTGTTAGATAGTACAGACAAATTGTAATAAATAAATTAGAATTGTGAATTATAATAGTGTCTAAGTATTATATAAATAAAGTTATAAATAAATAAACAAACGTTACAATATGATAGGATTGAGTCAAGGACAGACTTTATAAAGACATCAAATACTGTAACGTATCATAAATTCTGACAATATGACGGTTGTCCCGTTTGCATCATAAGAAAAGTGTAAGTTCCTTTGTTGATAATTGACAGGTAGGTACGTATTATTTGTTAATTATAAAAATTTATTGCTAATTAACACATTCTCATTAATGTAGATGATTTTAGCCTCATTGATAAATGATTTGTTTAAATCTATATTCCATCATAATACCTCTGGGTGTAATAAAAAAATGCAATAATTAAAACGATTTTAATAATAATTGTACAAATTATATTATATGTTTATACAAATGTTGAAAAATAAATCTTAAGTACTTGGCTTCCGTTTTTGAAATTCTATCCTAATTTTTTCCTCTACTTTGTCCTTGTCAATCGAAACCTAAAATATTAAAAAGATTTTATGAGAGAGAAAAAAAAACAGTACTTTTTTAACTAACAAGACAAGTATTCGCATGTCTTGTACTTTGTTAAAAAATTACTTACAGTTTCTCTGAGGGTCATAAACTTGTTATTATTTTCTGTTTTTCCCAGTCCTGTCAAATATTTCTCACGTAAATAAAGGACTGTATCGATATGCGTTTTATGTTTGATTGCCAGATCTAACGCTCTGTAAAAAAAATAAACTTTAAAATTTAAAAAATATAATACATTTTTGATACATTCTTTATTTTATAGTAAAATAAATTTTATTTTAAAGCTTGGATAATTAAAAAAATACTATATTTTTTGTTTTATCAATAGTTCAGTTAAATTTGTATTAAATTTGAAAATTAAACAAATAGCGACCTCTCTAGCAAGATTGATTTTGAATTGGAATTTTTTAAATACTGTCGGTATATAGAGAGGTGTATTGAAATTTAAATGAAATTTTTCTAAAATATAATTTTATTGTGTTCTATTTAATTTCATAGCCCAATAATATTTAATATAAAATTGGAAAATGCAAAAACTCTAAAATGTGGTTTAATGTATTTAAGTATCAAAATAAAACGAATCTCTGTTATGTCCTACAAGCGAGCGAGCAAGGTACCTAAATTTTGAAGAATTTTCTACTTTTTGTTTACCTGTTCCAGTCATACAAATTTATATTCATATAGATTGCTTGAAATACCATTCCGTTGTGTAAAAGAGTGGATTCTGCCTCCAAATTTCTACCTCCCAGTAAGGCCATTTGAGCCTTCTGTTCAGCCTTAGATGGTAAATTCTAAAAAAAAATTTTATTTTTTGAATTGTGTAAATTTTGGAAAATTTGGAAAACCTTTCAGTCTTAATAATCCATTTTATATAAAGATGTCCGATTATCAGATTCATTCTATATATACTGCTGGAAAGATCAAACCTTCGACCAATTTTGCTTGTGTTAAAGTGACAAATAACGTTCGTATATACGGGAAAAGAAACGATATAGCATCAAGGATGCCAGTCACAAGTCAAGAAACATCGATATTATATCCTTTCTTCTCTTGCGTATGCGAACTCCGTTAATTATTTAAAAAAAAAATAAAGCAGTCCGAAGGTTTGGTTTTTAAAATTATCAAAAGTTATTAAAAAAAAAAAAAAAAATGAAAAACTATAAATGGCCGATTTAGTATTTTTTTTTAATTTGATTTATTTCAAAGTTTAAGATTCCTAAGACACTTAAATGAAGAATATTTTTTAGAAAAAATTGCAAATTGTCTTTTAAATTAGACGCGCCTACCGTAACTTATATTATTACATAAATAAATTACCTTTTTAAACGATATGCACATGCCATTCAATTTTTTAAGATATACAATATACATGCCCTTATTTTATTAAAATACTAATATTTTACTTAATTTGACAATACGGCATCCATCTAAATGAGAATCAGGCAAATTAAATACACTGCGACCTAAAATATCTATTGTAGCTAATGCATCGAAATAATAGTCTCGATGTCTATTACAACCCTTCCAATCATATCTTGTCAAGGAAGAATAGGATTTGGTTGGAGTGGCTTTATAGAGTAAGAGCCCAGTGCCCCCAGACATAACTTATTTTCTAAAGGACACAATGTGGAGCATCAAGTAGTGTTTATATATGTATTGAATGCCTCCATACCTGCTAAGTTGGTTAGTGGGCCAATTCACAGGTACCAGGTGAGAAAGATAACTATAAATAAGGTTAACTTTACTTATTTTCTAAAGGCTGATTTTTATATATATTCCATAAAATATTATTAGAAAATAATATTGAACATTGCCAGACACTTTCCGTGGGCCATAACTTCCGCTAGACGCTTTAAAGCTCCCAATTTTTTTTGTAACTTTACTTATATTCTGATGTCTGGTTTTTATATATGTTATTTAAGAAACTATTTTAAATATATATTTATTCAGCCAGACTAATTGTAAGGGCCAAACACCCCCCAGACATTAAAAACATTCAGCCGTGAGTATACGCGACTGTACTATATGCTCGTGCTTTGGAGCGAGTAAGATATAAATCGATGGTACAACAGCAACACGTATAAAATCTTTTAATATGGCTTGAAATATCTACTCTGGAAAACCGTGATTTAAAATTATCGAGTTGTTGCTTTATTAAATTGATAAAACAATTAAATAGGAACATACTAGGGAGTCATGTCGCACAGCTGTGCGACTACATTTCGAAGGAAAATTTCAAATGTTTACCGTCCTATAGAAATATTTAATAACGTCTTTGCATTTAATTTTTCAAAAATAAAAAAAAACGAAATATTTTACTTTTTTTTTATTCCTCCCCCCTCTCCCTGTTAGAAAAACCATGTCATGTGATACATCAATCGATGCTTCTCGTCGATAGGATAATTCTTTTTCAGGTTTTATTCGCCTGTCTCCTCTTTTAAGCAATGTTTTCCCCGGAAAATCGTCTCATCCGAAATTTCCCCTAATTTTCCTGGAAAATCTGTTTGATGTACCGGAAAATTGTCTATGCCAGGTTGTGAGCAACGTCGAGTAGTAAACTGATATTTTTAGTTTTTCCAGAAAATTCATCGGAAAAGTCGGAAAATTTGAAAAACTAAAAAAATGTTTTTTTTGATTTTCACCACATGAAAGGGAATTTCTCGAAACGGGGTCGCTTCAAATTGTAATGTAACCTCTATGAAATTGTTAATTTTTTATAAAGCAACACCTACGGGGTCGCTTCAAATTGTAATGTAACCTCCATAAAATGGTTAATTTTAAATAAAGCGACCTCTACGAGGTCGCTTAAAATTGTAATGTAACCTCTAAAAAATTGTTAATTTTTTATAAAGCGATAAAGAAATTTTCAAAACGTCATAAAAAAGTGACAATTGACGTTAGACGAAAAAATGCTTCTGATGAGCCGACTAAGGTCTCTTAAGTATCTACCGTTTATGCAAACTTACTTCCATAGTGTACCCAAATTCCGGAAAAGGGACTCAGGACTTTTGGACGATTTTCGTGCGATTTTTCGAGGATTTTCGCGGTTTCCAAGGAAACTGTCAACTAGATTTTGACGCCGATTTTTTTTAAGAAGCGTCTCGTGGGTATACAGCCTCCGTCCGAGTTTCATCGAAATCCATTCATCCGTTCGGACGGTACGATTTTTTAAAGTCGCCCGGAAACCCCTCATACAAAATTGGTCGGAAAAAAAATGGCGCCCGACGAAAAATGTGTGTGCGTGGTGAGGTATAGAGAGGCGAGGGGTGTTTAGGAAAAATATTCAAAAAATTATTTGTTTCCATTAAAACTTCGAAAAGCGATTAAGAAATTTTCAAAACGTCATAAAAAAGTGACAGTTGACGTTAGACGAAAAAATGCTTCTGATCAGCCGACTAAGATCTCTTAAGTATCTGCCGTTTATGCAAACTCACTTCCATAGGGACCGTGCGTCATGACTTTAACGCTAACTGGTGACAAAAATGTGAACTTTTTGGGGGGTATTTATTAATGTTTTATACGGCATTTATTGTTTAATAATTATTAATAAAATGAAGTCGAATTATTTTCGTAATATCAATATCGAAAAAACTTGTTGCATCCGTGGATGTACAAACACATCACTTTAGAAACCTGGATTTCATTCGATAGTAAAGAAATTTTATAAATTTCCACAGAGCACAATTATTATGCCTCACACCCAATGATATACATAATTACAAAGATTGCTTATCCATATGTAAATCAGACGACGAAAAGCGTATTTCACTGGGCAAAGTTTTCTTTTTATCTAGCTTGTATCAATTTTGAGCACATAGTTGTAAAGAAATCATTTACAGAACCGGTTTAGAAATTATAATCTTTAGTGTTTTCTTGTCATTAAGATTTTTACATATTTAAATGACATTTTATATAAATATAATTTTACAGATAATGGTTTATTCTGTTGATTAAAACTAATGTAGAATGTTATGAAATAAGAATATCCAATTTGACAAAAATATCACGGCCCTCTTTACAATTTATTAACTATTTCTCATTTATTTTTAAAATAAACAAATCATAAATAATACATTGCAATTACTGTCAAAAGAGATTGTAACAAACTTTAAAATATTAAAAATCCAGTGATTTTTTGTAAATTTTTTTAGTGACATTACCACTAAACATTATTCAGAATAATAGATAAGTGTCCAATTACAACTCTTACCAAAGTTGTTCATACCTCATATCAAAATTGTTTACATTACCTTTTCAAAATTGTATTACATATTGCAATTATGTATTTTATGTAGAATTGTTTCTGAAATAGTAGTCTAAAATTATTTATATCCATCTGTTATAAAAATTGTTTAGATCTCTTAATATTATTTAACTACATGAAAACTCAACTTTCCAAATACATAATGACATGTCTTGAAGTAAAACTTTAATTATTATCTTTTTCTAAAGATTAAAATGCTGAAATTTTATTTTAACACATTTGGGCTAGAACGGCTCTATTTAGTGAGCACTAGGAAAGGCACATTGCAACCAGCTTTTCATAATTTTTTTATAGTTGGGTGAGCAATCTATAATATATGTATCATTGAACATCTCATAAACGCCAGTGGATGAATGACATTTCGATTAACATAAAGCTAAAAAGATTTATAATTATTATTATCAATCTTTTTTATTAATTTACATTTTTTAAATGTTATTGTAATACTTTTAAATTCAGTGTTACTAAATACCTATATTTTAACATTGGATACACTTGTTTAAGGTACAACTTTACAATTTATTGTCACTTAGCCATTTAAATCTTTTTGCTTAAAATGTATATGCATGTCCAGATTTTAATAATGTTTCACATTTTACGTCATTTTGACCATGTACACGATTGTTTGGTACGGGCCGGTATCTATTTTTAACTATATTTAATATTTAAAAAAATACCCTTCATTATTTACTTGCAATATTTACCCCATTTAATTCTAAAATTAAACACTAGAGAGGGCTAAGTTCGGCAGTAGTGCTGCCTCTATATTTCACGCACGGTCCCTATAGTGCACCCAAATCCCGGAAAAGGGACTCATAGGACTTTTGAACGATTTTCGTGCGATTTTTCGAGGAAAACAAAGACCATTCAACATATTAAAGAAGAAATTAGAGTATCAGCAAGCTTTTATAGAATTCGGCCAGTTGAAGTCATTTATGAATCCAGATGTTCAAAAAATTATATTTAACAAAATACAAAATTTCAAGTGAATGCTGCCCGACTTCAGCTGTTCGTAAATAATTACGAAGTTTCGGATGTAAATGAGAAATTTAACAATAAGAACTTGAAAAACTTTGATGCGAGCAATCTACCACCATGCAAAACTAAGCTTTCTTCGGGCCAATTATATATCAAGTATTTGGAATAATGCCCATAAAAAACAACCGACCATTTTTACTCCACAAAACAACGGGTGGACATTGGAAAGCAACCAGTACCAGTTTCACTGGTTTGATGGTGACCAATGGGCCCGTTCACTTTCATTTTTGAATGTGAATTAATTATATATTTATAAAGATATTAAACTCTTTTGTCTGGTGGTACTTTTCCCGTTAAGATATGTTTGCTAGAAGTAAGGGAATTCCCATAAAATTCTTTCAGTGACTCATTGCGTCAGAAAATCCCTATTTCCGTTCACGTCTCGTATCGGTTATGCTTAAAGACGGCGGGGTTGTCGGAAGTATCCCTAATATACCATTTCTGCATTTATATATGTAATTTAAATAGTAAAATTCCATTATTTTTCTA